CGCACGCGGGGGCGGCGGGCGCGGGGGCGGCGGCGGGCGCGCTGCGCCTGCTCTGGGGCTCGCTGTTCGGCGGCGGCCTCGTGGAGGGGGCCAAGAAAGTGACGGTGACCGAGCTGCTGGCCGGCATGCCCGACCCGACGGGAGACGAGGTGCACGGCGAGCAGCCGGCCGGGCCTGGCGGCGACGCGGACGGCGAGGGTGAAGGCGAGGGCGCGGGCGACGCCGCCGAGGGAGCGGGCGATGAGGAGGCAGCGGTGCACGAGGCCGGGCCAGGAGGCGCTGACCGGGCCGTGGCAGTGTCCGATGGGGGCCTCTTCCGGTCCGAAGGGGTCCCGGGAGGCCTCGGGGACATGGGTGACACGACGCCGGCGGAGCCGCCTACGCCCGAGGGCTCCCCCATCCTCAAGAGGAAGCTGGGGGTGAGAGGGCAGACGGGGGCTTCGGGGTTTGGGAGAGATTGGGGGTAGGAGGACCGAGAGGGAAGAGGGAGACTAAGAGATAGGGACACACAGAGAGAGAAACGGGAACGAGCCTGAGAGCGACGGACGCACACAGACAGACAGAGGGACGCTCAGAGAGTCAGAGACATGGACAGAGAAATGAACTCAGAGATGGAGACCTGGAGAGAGGCTTGGGGTGGGGGGAAGGTGGTGTTCCTAGAGAGACAAAGGAAAAGATACCGAGTCACAGAGAGGGAGAGAACCTCAGGCCCAATTAGAGGAGAAACAGGACCAGGAACTAAACAGGTCCGAGGTAGGGTCAGAGACACGGGGAAAGACCCTCAGAGATAGATGGTTGTGGGAAATTAGGTCTCCCGCCTGACCAAGGCCCCTACAGCATGCTTGGGCCCATGGCGCCATGGGGTGCTGTTGTCAAGGGGATAGGAAGCCTAGGAGAAAAGAGCTCCACTTGCAGTCAGCCTGACCCTGCACAGTGCGTGGGCAAGGTGCCCCTCCCCGAGCCTCAGCTTCTCCCCTGTAAAGTGAGAGTCGTAATCCCTCTTCCTTCTGGTGGGGGGAGAGGAAAACTCGGATGGCCCAGGGGAAAAGACTGGATAGACACAAAGAGAAGAAGGCAGGTCAGCACTGAGTGGCGCTGGGGTTGGGGTTCTGCCCTGATGCTTACTCCACAGGTGGGTGGAGAGGAAGAGGAGCTGCCTCCAGAACCAGAGCCGGAGCCAGAGCCTGAGAAAGCAGAGTGAGTGGCCTTGGGGCCGAGGGGTCCAGCCCCTATCACTGTTTCCCTCCTGGACTGGGAACCCAAGCCAGGAGGCTGTGTCCTCAGCGTCACCCAGCTCAGGCCCAGAGGAAGGGCTGTGTGAAAGGGAGGAGAGAAATGAGGGCTCCTCTCGGACCCCCAAGCCTTTGCACAGCTGTCCCCTCCACCCAGAACACCTTACCCATGCTTCATCTCAGTCGCCCTCATCTTCCCCATTTTGGCTCATATGTCTCCTTCTCCAGGAAGCGCACCTTGACACCACCCTCCTAAGTTGAAGAGGTGTCTCCTCTGGGCTCCCATAACCCCCTGAGCTTCCCTCATGCCAGCCCTGACTGAACTGGGCTGCTACAGCATGGTGATGGGTCTGTACCCCATTGGACTGGAGTCCCATGAGGACAGGGCCTGAATTTGGCTCATCACTATGTCTCCGGCACCATCCACACCTGGGCGAGGCATGGGGTGGGCCACCAGTGCATGGCTTTGAATGAATGAACGAATTGCCCAGACACCCCCTCACTCTCTGTCCTGCCCTGTAGTGCCGAGAATGGGGAGAAGGAAGAAGCCCCTGAGCCCCCACCAGAGCCCCCCCAGAAGACAGCACCTCCTCCACCCCCTCCAAAGAAGGAAGAAGCCGGAGGCGGGGGCCTGGAATTCTGGGGAGAGCTGGAAGTGCAAAGGGTGAAGTTCCTGGTGAGGACCCAGCAAGGGCATGCTGAAACTCTTCACACCACCTCTTCTCCCCACCCCATTCTTGAGCTCACGTGTACCAGGCTGCGGAGAGAGCAGAGATGTCCCCAGACAGAGCCAGGACCTGGGCACAGGGCAGCATTTTTAAGTGGTCCCACGTGACTCCTCAGCCTCCCCCAGCTCATTGTCCTTATTTGAGCCTCCACACCTTTGCTTCTCAGCAACCACCTGCCCAAGCTTTCCACCCCCATCCTCTCCAGAGCTAAGTCCCATTGAGGCCACAGCTCTGTTCCTCCCGCTATGGCCTGTTTCTTGGCTGTCAGCCTTTAGGTCGGAGTCACCACACCAGCCCCAAGCTATTCCTGTTGGGGGAACAACTCATCCAGGCCAGTAAGAAGGGAGGGCAGGGCCCAGGGCTCTGCCTGTCCTATCTCCTCTCCAGGCCCAACCTGACACAAGGGGCTGAGGGAAACATGTTGGACATAAGGTGGTTCATTGAGGGTTCATGGGAAGAATGAAGGATGGAGAGAAAGTGAAAAAGAGGGAGAAATGGAAGTAGATGTGCTCTGCATGGGGTAAAGCAGACAGAGTAACCTCACGGGGAGCAGCAGAGCAGAGTGGCTGGGAACATGGACTCTGGAGCTTGACTGTCTGGCTTCAAATCCCAGGTCTGCTACTTCTTGGCTATGTGCCCTTGAGCAAAACATCTCACCTCCCTGAGCCTCAGTTTCCTCATCTGTAAGATGGGCGTTTCAGCAGTACCCACTTCATGGGTTGTGAGAATTAAACAAGTTCATGCAAATAAAGCTCTTAGCCCAGGACTTGGTATACAGTAAGCACTCAATAGGAGGTTGTGGGACCAGATATTGAGGACCCTGGTGCTTGGATTATGGGTGAATGATGGAATGAATTCTCCAGGGAAAAGGGTGGACTATGATCTCTCTGTCTTTCTCTTCTCATCTTAGAACTACCTCTCCCGGAACTTTTACACCCTGCGATTCCTTGCTCTCTTCTTGGCATTTGCCATCAACTTCATCTTGCTGTTTTATAAGGTGATGGTCAGGAGGATCTGGGCTGTGGAGTGGGAGGCTTAGCCCCTAACAGGTTCCCAGGGCCCCTGCAGTTTACCAGGGACAAGGTATTGGGCTCAGGGTTCCAAGGAGGGTTCAGGCTGGACACTTGGATCTTGGGACCGCCGTGGGGGTGAGTGTGGGTGCCTGGTCCATCTGGACAGATGCCTGAGTGCCTGCAGGAGTTAGAACAGGGAGCTGGTTCTGGGTTCCCTTCTCAGCTCTGTCACTTGCCAGCCCTGTGCCCCTGGGTGCAGGCCTTCGCCTCTGCAACACCCACCAATTCAGTTAAGCTTTTTGGCTGTCATGTAAGCTAAACTTGTGTGGAGGGGGAAATGGGAAGCTCATGGAATGGAAGGAAAGGGCTAAGAACCAGGCCTCCTGAAGGACAAAGTGGCCCTTGGGGTCTTGCCAGTGATCTAGATCAGGGGTCGGCAATCTTTTGAGATGAAAGAGCCGCCAGGGGTCGGCAAACTGCAGCTCGCAAGCCACATGCGGCTCTTTGGGTACGTGGCTCTGAAGTAAAATTGAAAGTGAAAATAAAACTATCATAGTTTCATTTATAAAATTTTTAAAGGATATTATTCACATAATGGTGATTATGTAAAATATATTTATGGCTCGAATAATTTTTTTTTAAGATTCTTATTGGGGAATTGGGGGGATGGAAACAGCACTGGGGAATTGGGGGAAGGGGAACAGACAAGTTGCTGTCATTTTTGTTCTTCAGTCTAGTTGTGGAGAACGTTGTTTCACTGGCCCAAGTTGGCACCATCATTGTGCTCTTCCCGGGCGAGGCAGATTAGTCGCCGGCTTCTGGATGGCCGCTCATGGCAGCTCTTGGCAGCTCACG